CTATACTACTCTTTTTGGATCCGACGACACCATGACTGCATTACATACTGAAGACATTAACGCTTTTCATATTCTTAACAAACAAAACTACACTTCAAAAGACAGATCGAAGAAAACGGTGTTATACCCATTTCTAGACTTTTGGTTGGCCACAACAATAATCTTCTACTCACTACTGTTAACCGCAAACCCACAAACACTGAAAGACTACTCGATCAGTCATCTTACAACCCGAATTCACACAAAGCCACTACAATCAACACGCTTACTAGACAAACACAATTCGTATTCAAAAGAAAGAAAACACATGAGAAGCCACGCTTTTTGGAGCTCCTGGATTTGTATCTATGTTTTGCTCTTAAATTGCCTAGCTACTACCTAGTTTGACTTCCAGAGTAAGGTAAAATTTTATTCAAGATAATGCTGCAGTTTATACATCGAAGAGGAGACCAAAGGATTGAAAAATCAAGTAATTCAAAATGTGGTTTCTGAAGCTACGATAATCTTCAGTGCATGCTTGAAACCAAGAAATTTGCATCGACATCTTCCCAGGGGATCACTGTCTTTATTATGACTTATTGTCCGTAATCGAACTTCGAATTCCACTGGCATTGACCTATTCTACGACTGGAAATGGAATTTAGATAGGAAAAGAAAAACCCGAAGAACACGATGTCCGGACGATGTCCTTGGGGTAGGAAAACAGGACCCCTAAAGCGACGATGACAGACCCGCGCGATACAGGCCTTTGGTGCCTCAGTTGTCAGTGTAACGTACTTTTTGTAATAGCCGGTAAAGTAATCGTAAATAGATCATGGGAACAAATCAAATGGGAAATCGAACGTAAACCCTGCTAGTGAAAACGTTTGTACTTAGACAGGAACCCACACAATAATAATCGACTTTCCCTCCCTAGTGTAGAGAAAGTTGGATGATGATACATATTAACTAGAGTGCAAACAATATATCCGTGAAATATTAGTAATACTAAGTTACAGGGCATTTATAAGTTCAGAAAATTTCTGATTTATTTTATATGTACCATGTCATCACTTTTTTTCTGCACATCTCATATCGTAATATATATATATATATATGTATATATATATACAACATTCAGCTTTCAGAAATTTCTGAACTTAAAAAATCCTCTGCTCGCAGGCGGGTATTCCATTCCCGTCCCGCATACCGATTTCAGGGTCGTAAAAACTCTAAAATCTGGTAGCAGTTTTAAATTTAAAGGTTTAATGGAATTACATATATAGAAAGACTCTCTAGTATGTCTAGTACATGTATTCCCAAATTCACAGTTAATTGTCTTGATCCTGGGTCTGCATTTCCTCTTGATCCTGTAGCTGTGATCCCTAATCCTATATACCTTGTTATGATCTTGCAAGTCAGATTCACATAAAAAACAATCAGAGAAGAATGGAAAAAGGGTCCCCGGTTAGTCTTTAATTGAACATAAGCTTAATACTACTCTAAATAAAACTCCTAAACATACTCACTCTTTCATGGATTCAGATTTTTTTAAAATTCTTGATCATGTATATATATAGTATTGTAAAAGATATTCAGAAATTCCTGCATCTTGATTGTTCTATATATGTGTTACGATATGAGATGTTCAGAAAATTTCAGAAAGTTGAATGTGTTATATACATATTACGATATGAGATGTTCAGAAATTTCAGAAAGTTGAATGTGTTATATACATATTACGATATNAAATTTCAGAAAGTTGAATGTGTTATATACATATTACGATATGAGATGTTCAGAAATTTCAGAAAGTTGAATGTGTTATATACATATTACGATATGAGATGTTTAGAAATTTCAGAAAGTTGAATATATTATATACATATTACGATATGAGATGTTCAGAATTTCTGAAAGTTGAATGTGTTATATACATATTACGACAAGAGATGTTCAGAAATTTCTGAAAGTTGAATGTGTTATATACATATTACGACAAGAGATGTTCAGAAATTTCTGATTTAACAAAAGATTTCTCATTAGCATCCATTTTTAACCACAATAGCCGCCATGTTTTTGTCTTTTAACTCTTGCTTGCAAGCCATCAATAAGTGTTTCACGGATATACACCTACTTGCAAGAACGTTGTCATACGATATTAGAACATTAGTAATGTAGTGAGAAAGGAATACATTAAAAGACAAAAGAAAAAGTTCAGCTTCAGTGATCTTCTTTCGTTTTTTAATATAATTCCTATCCCACTAAATAACTAATGTTGATTTTCGTATGACAACGTTCTTGCAAGTAGGTGTATTGTTGGCACTCTATATCATAGATCATAGATCATCTCTCGATCGGTTGGCAAGTGGGCACAAGTGGAGCATTCAGTTTCCCACTTGAGAATCTAAAAATATATCGGGCATTTATTTTATTATTGATTTTGAAGATAATATTAATAATAATAATATTTATTTATACACGATAAGTTATATACAGCATAGCTGATGTGGGCGTGTTCTAATCCTAGGTCCTAAGCTATACTAGTCCTCTCACTCTCACCCACACACATTCTCTCTCTCTCTCTCTCATTCTCTCGATCTTATCTACTACTAAGCTAATTATTACATAATTTAATATTTTGACTGGAAAGAGTTATTACATCTTTAGTTGAGATATGTCCTTTTTAAGTTTTTGTTTGAAAATAACGGGGCAACTCGATTCTCTGGTATTGTTGTTGAGCGCGTTCCACAGTTTTGCACCCTGGTACCTTATTGCCTTTTTGCCATAATTGACTGTATGGAAAAGAGGCAATGTTATTTGGTTGGAACTACGTAGGGAGTAGCCAACATCTCTCTTTTTGATGTGGTCCTGCGGTTCCTGGTTGGAATCTAGGTTGTAGTAGCACTTGTGCATGAAAACACCTAACCTGATAGTGTAAAAGAACTTGAGGGGTCTCCAAAGCAGTTGGCGCCTTATCTCTGTTCTTGGAACCCTCTACCTTACCCATAGCCTCCTTCGCAGCCGTTCTTAGGGTCGAAGAAACGTTGCGTGACGAACCTAAGAACGGCTGCAAAGGAGGCTACCTTACCCATGACAAACAAACAAACCACCATAACACACTTTGTAAATCGATCACAATGATCGTTGGCTAGCTTGACCTCGAGGTCGTTAGTCTAACACACAGCCGCTTTCAGAGTCGTCACGCAACGCTTTCTCCCCTGAGTCAGGGGACCCTCACCGGGGTCGCGGTAAAAAACTGAAACGGAAACAGCTGAAGGAGCTGAAAAGTGCAGAAAAGCGCAGAACTTCTTATTATCATAGATAATAATCAGTAGACAAATATTATGAAAGATGATATAATATAAATAATGTCAAACTAAACAAAAATAAAAAAATGAAAAAAAATGTTAACTGCAGAGATACCAGCCGATGAACCGACCAGCAAGGTCAATGTCACGCATTCTCTTTACCAAAAAATAAAATTTCAAAAGACAAGTCACATGCCTCTCACGAGTAGCACGTACAAGCTAAATTCGACCTTGATCTTTAGACTCTTCCACAGTCTCTCGCTCGTCCGTTCCGTCTCCACGCTTAGAGATCTCTAAGCGTGGAGACGGAACGGACGAGCGAGAGACTGTGGAAGAGTCTACCTTGATCTTATGCAAGATTTCGATCAGGCCTAGACCTGTCCTATGACGAATATGACTCTTTGCCCCCTGATGTTTATTTAGTTAATCGGATGCTTAGACTGTGCCCTAAAACCGTACCGTTGTAACAGCTAACCTTTCTATGACCAAACGCTTGTAAATTGTATTCTAATCGTCCAAAACCTGATTTTTGAATCATTCGTTCACAACTCAGATATTCTTAGTTTTCCTATTTTGATTAAGAGGCAACGCCTCCAGAAATTTCTTGTTTGATATACTCTCAAAACATGCGGGATGTTGAGAGAACACGAGAGGAGCGTAGGAAACCACGACGCGTATCTTCTAAGATTTATCCAAAACTTAAGATGTTAATAGGAATATACAAACAAACTGTTCTACCAATATTAGATTATGGGAGCATAGTTTGGGGAGACTGTGGGAAGCAGAATGCACAGCGCTTAGATCGCCTTCAGAATCAGACAATGCGTATTACTTTATCAAGTGATCGCAAAACCTGCACTCAGGATATGCGCTGAGAGATACGACATTACTGAACTTACCAAAAACATCTTCCAAAATGGGGCAACTATCATTTACGTTTGGTGCTGCTAGGAATTGGAATGATTTGCCTAAGGATTCGAGAGAACTTAGCTCTTTTTCCATTTTTAAAAACAAGCTTTTTTAAAAAGTATTTTCTAGATTTTGAGCATTAAAAATTAAGAGCATAAGTGTAATGTACGATAGATTTTTTCTTCATATATTTGTTTAATTTATTTAATTATTTAACCAATAATCTACACGGAGGCACCCGTTTTCGATTATGTGTATATATATCTTTTTTAGCCTATTTTTTCTTTTTCGACCCCCGTATATACAATGGATATATATGTTTTGTGGGCTCGGGGTTTTTGTGTTTCTGTGTTTCTGTGCATATATGTATATATTATACTTAATTTTCTCCTTTCTTGTATTTATACTTTTAGGTTTTAATCGCAGATTTTAATATAGATTTTATTTAGATTTTATATTGCTGATCACCAGTTCATACCAGCTGTTCTATCATGTTCAGCTGATCGGTTTTTTAAAAATCAGGATAAACAAAGATATTATTATTATTATTATTATCTTCGTTTATTTAAACTTTCAGTATGCGTATCATCATCATCATCATTATTTTTATTTTTATTTTTACTCACATGTTGTTTTTATGAAGCGAGAAAATTCTAGTATAAAAAAAATCTAGTAGAATCTGGAGAAAAACCCACGTGACAAGAGACAGAACAAACACATCAAACAAACCCATCCACATATTGCAACTGCCCAAATGGTTGTTATATATTTAACTGATCAGTGCCTTTCATTTGATTGCAGCGCAAAGAGGTAATACTATCGTTGTTATTTGGTCTTCTCGTCACTTATGTTCTTATAACGTCTACTGCTATTGATAAGAAAATATATAAAGCTTTAGGTAAGTACTGTAATGTAGCCATTGACATGATCATGTGACCAGTAGGTGTACTGTATTAACATGATCATGTAACCAGTAGGTGTACTGTATTAACATGATCATGTAACCAGTAGGTGTATTGTATTGACATGATCATGTGACCAGTAGGTGTACTGTACTGACATGATCATGTGACCAGTAGGTGTACTGTATTGACATGATCATGTGACCAGTAGGTGTATTGTATTGACATGATCATGTGACCAGTAGGTGTACTGTACGCGATATCATTTAAAATATTTTTTTTCTATAAAGGACATTCCAAAAAGGTAATTGTAAGTTCTGAATGTCATCGTACAAGTCTATCAGAAGATAATGAGGATGGCAGACAGAAATCTCTCGAAGATGAGGATGATGAAATTTTGTGTAAACCACATCGGTAAGGAATAACTATACATAATAGTGACATATCACAAACAGTGTTGACAATGGGAAATGTTGCTTTGTCATAGCTTGCTTTTCGAGCCATCGCATCTCACGCGCATAGTGTGAAGTTTGCTCTTGTCAATGTTCATCAGCCTTGAGTATGTACCGGTATATGTTTACCCATACCCTGAAACAGTCCGGAATTATCATGATCAGATTCAGGGCACGGCTTACTCGCAGATCAAATTAGAATTGAGCGTGGTTTTAAAAGATTTTTGTGAAAGAAGAAAACCCCGAGATCCCGGAGAAAAGAGAATCCTCCATCACTTCACAATATTGCCCTTCATAACGGCCATCAAATGAACATTAAAACCTTGTTTTTGTATGCAATTTTGAATTCCGCCACCTATTTTTCATATCCTTTCCTTTCAGACCAAGCCCAAAGTCGTGCCAGGCTGCGAACAGTTTCTTTGGAAGTCCCAGCGACACAATCACGCGAAGAAGCTGCTCTCCAGTTCCGACATCTGATATCTGCTGGTACACAGAGTCTAATCAACCAGCACTCGTTTGTTCGTTAGATTTCTGCGAGGATAGCAGAATATACATGGCTAGAATTGACCCAGATTATGGGGTTATCAGAAAGTGGGAAGCAATCACTCCATTTAGCACAGCAAAGGCTTTAGAATTCGTAACGAATAGCCGAAATCAAGGGGACACCTTTTGTTACATCAAATGTGCAGGATTCGTGAGAGTCATAATTTTGCCGCCTAAAATCCTCGTGAACACTAATCGCGTCGACTCAACGAAGAAAGTCAACGTTAATATCATAGTCCTAGATTCGATTTCTCGGCCTCATTTTTACCGAGTGATGAGGAAGTCTGTCAAAGCCTTGCGTGACATTCACCAGAATTCCACGATACCTGCCAGCGCTTTGGACTTTGAACTTTTTCAAAGTATTAGTATGCACACGTTCGAGAATATTCGACCGTTGTTTTCTGGAATTATAAAAGTTAAGTTAATGAAATATTCAGATATGCAAATTAGGGGTTTTGATACCATATTTGGAATTAAGAGTTTGGTTTCAAGATGGCCGCTTCTCTCGCATATCAAACTTTTCGGTCAATTTCCTGACTTTCAAACCATAAAAACTGAAGGTTTACTGAATCTTTCAATCAAACATTTTGGATATCTGAGTGTCTTTAATATAGTTTTGGGAATTTTTGAAGCAAGAGGATCGGCGGATGATATAAAATAATTTCTGTTTCCATTTCAAATTTTTCTCTTCAGTTTAGTTTAAAAACGTAAAGATCAGTGGGACTCACCCCTCGTCTTGTTAATAACATAATTTATTCAATATGGTATAGGAATTATGAAGAGGACTATTTCAACTTATAAACTCGCAGTCCTCTTTTAACGTCTCTAGTTGATTAGGGACGGGACGGGTCATCCGAGCCACGTGAAGGTCTGACCATTGTAATTACAAAGGCAGCACCTTCTCCTTAGTTATTTTAAGACCCTGAGTGTTGGTCCGGCCGAGGCTTGAACCACGACCTCCTGCCGACGCTTCTACCAACTGAGCTAACAGGGTGGCAGGTTTCTTATTTGGATTTTTTATACTTTTATTAGCCAATGATGACTTCCTCAGCAAGTCGGCCGCAGCGCAAGAGCCACTTGGCATTGATGTCCTTTTTAAACACTTCAAAGAATACGGCTACCAAACCATGTTCCAAGAAGATCTCTGTTGGTATGATGAATGGGGGATTATGTTGGACAACTTGGAGAGAAAAAAGGACTCCAAGCCTTCTATAAAAAAGTATAGTGTCGTGACATATTTGCGGTCCATCTTTAGGGCGCATGGGGAGAGGGATGGGGTGGCTTTACAAACATAACACAACCCCACTCCATTGTAGAGCTAACAATTCTTAACCCCCTTTCGTCACCCTGCAATAGTTCTCAACCCCACCAATATGTGATAGCCCCCCCTAACCACTTTCTCAAAATAACTTAAACCATCATACAATTCTGCCGTTTCCATATGCGCTAATATATGAAAGCGGCCCCTTTAAATGGAAACTTATCCGTTAAATTTGTGAGGCCGGTTTTGATTCACTCTCAACATGGTTTTCTTATATCTACAGATGGAACAAGTTTAACAAAGTCATCAGCAAACACCATCTGGATCATATTGGAATAACTCACTTCTCCTGCGAAGTCTTCAGAGAGTACGGATACTCCAATCACTACGACAGGCCTTCAACTGTCTGCTTCAACGGTCGATTCTTCAGCTCGTACTTCCTACACTACTTACGTGCCATTAGGGAAGGTTTGAGGAATGTGGAGGACGCTGCTCCAATGATCATGTATCATCACTTTAATACGCCACACACGGAGACTGGTTTGAGGGTGCGAAGCATGGACGAAGAGCTCTCAAAATTCATTCGCTTCGCTGCCGGGTAATGATACTTTATTCAGTTGTTTGTTCGCGTCTAAATGGTCGTTTTGATATTGGTGTATGGGGTTCCTGTGGTTTTGGCGGGAACTTTCGCGCTAAAACGCCCGCGCTTGTCAATTTATTGATATTCTTTAGTCATTTTATATTCTTTTTTCTTAATCCTTTTTTTTTTCTTTTTTTTTTTTTTCTTTTCTATTTTATTTTATTTTTTGATATTTATATTATTCTTAAACATTTTTGACATAATTTGGTTTCACTTTTAGAGACCCGTACACATGGACTATTTTATTATCCGACCACGGCCATACACGAACAACTTATGGCCTAACTGATGAGGGATTACACGAGCGATACAATCCTTTGTCGTTCATGATAATACCGCACAAAACTGCCCAACTAATGGGCAAAGACAGGTTTGAAAACTTGAAGAAAAATCAGAACAGACTGCTTACTACCTTGGACATTCATGGTGCTCTTATGACACTAAATGACGCGAAGAAACCGTCCAATGATTCCCGAGTGTCTGGCGTGTTCGCAAAAATATCATCGAATCGAACATGTAGCGAGCTACCATTGATGCCTCTTGCGAGGTGCCAATGCGAGGGAGCTGAAGAAAAGCTAATGGACAACTCCCCGAATGTGCTTTGGATGGCAGAGCTTGCTTTGGGGACTTTGAATAATGTTATACAACAACAGTATTCTGAAGGTGAGATTGAATGAGGATTTTAAAAAACAATTCTTTCTCAATGACACATCTATTTTTCTACAGGCTATCAGGTTTTCCTTCTTTCGCAAAAACAAATTCTTTCCAATTTCAATTAAATAATGGAGTAATCATGAGGTGACAATTTCGATTCAAAAGTCACCGAGAAGCTATGTAGTTGCTGGAGAAAATCTCAAGTCTATTTATTACTCGCAACAAAAACACAAAGGGCGCGGGATCTAGGAAAGGGGTTTGGGGACGGGGGGTTGCGCACACCCTCCTAGATGAGGTAATATCTACTTTATTAGAGAGTTTTAGATTGACTTTTTTTCTCCCCGCAAACGGCAAACGTGACCACGTTTTCATAGTTTTCCTKTATTTTACTTTACCTTTTACAAACCTTCTCACCAAGCGCAAATACTCTTTTGTTTTTCTACTACTTGGACTTTTTTGCGATTCTTTTTCAGTAATTTAAAAGAATTTTTTACTGGTCAACTGACGTTTCACGTTGCCGTGAACGTAAATCTAAAACTCTCTATTGTTGGTGTCTGAATTTGTGAACGTACGTCCTGATCATAAAAAATCACTGATCCAATCCTGAAAAACGTCTTCAGCTACAAGACAAAAAGACCCGACAAATTAGTGTCACGGAAATTTCAATCGAAATGAATTGAACAAAAAGATCACTTATACATTTATAAAACCGGCTTTAAGCCGAAACTTGTTTGGCCAAGTTACCTCAGTGCTACTACGACCCAAGCAAACCAAGGAAAGTCAAAACTATTGGCAAATATTCAACTCATCGAGAAGCTTTTAAATTGCACACCATCACGTATTGTTTCTAGTTTAAATTCTTGATCTTTTCATGCCTCTTTACCTTTAGTTATATCTTACTTTTCTTATAAAGCTATTTCAAAAAAGGTTGAATACTGAGTACTGCATACTGAATAGTGCATTCCAAGACCAAAGTGCATTGTGGGTCTCGTTAATTTGAACTTAAAAGTAAATATACAGCAATTAACACTCTACATGTAGTTAGTATATTGTTTCAGATGGAATACACTAAAAATAGAATAAATAATTATTATTAATCCTACTTTAGACAATGTCACTAGACCCACAATGCCCTTCGGTCTTGGAATGCACTATTCAGTATGCAGTATTCAGTATTCAGCCTTTTTTGAAATAGCCGTATACTTGAGCCAGCAGTTGCGGGTCACCCTGCCTCTCATTTCTGTTGGCGTTAATTTGTTATATTCATTATTATCGAAGTTAATAAAAAATATATAACGATCTTTTTCAGGGAGAAAGATTCTTTTTCACGCAAATATTTTTAGAAATTTTGAATAAGTATTATATGTCATATTATTTTTTTGGTCGTTTTTATTTCAGATTCCGAATCAAAGTCCAAGGGGCCTCAAGGTTTTGGTAAATGTGTCCGTTTTGTTGGTAAATCCTTTACTAAAATAGTACAACGTAACTCAGGGTTGTTAACGACTTTTGATCTCCACATTGATTCAAGTTCTGTTGGGTTGAAAGATGACGAGGTATTTCGTGTTGCGGTAGAGCTAACGGGTCTTAAACCTTCACTTAAGTTTTTCGACCGTCAGACACTTTATAACAAATTCAAAGGCTGCGCGGACGATGCGGTAGAGCTGAAACTATGCATGTGCGACCGAACAAAGACGTCGAGCTATAAACCAGGCCCTCTTAAGACGGCAGAAATGAAGAAATTGATATCTTCACGAATGTTTGGTTCCAAGACTGTAGTAAAAGACCTTTACGAAGGATGCCTTTTTCAAATCATAAGAACTAGCAAAGTCAGCGTGGCTTATGAAGTAGCCAATTCTTGTATTGGCAAGACTTTCTCTGTCAAAGCTGAAGGAGAGTCTTACTATTTTTTGATGTCCAGAGAGTTGCCTATGGAATTTTTAGTCAAGCCGAACACTGTACACTTTATGTTTTCTAGCACCAGACAAATATTGAATCATAGCCATCTAGATATTAAGATTAAAGTAGCTAAAATGTAGCTTGGGTACGTTTTATTATTGATTTGACAATGAACTAATCTTATCAAGTATTATGAGTATTAGATTAGTAGAACAGAAAAATAATTACTATTGGAAAGAGCATGTTAAAATATATAATAAAACTCTGGATTTGTTTGAATGAAAGTATATAAGTTGCAAAATCTCAAAATCAATCCTAACTAGTTCAAACGAGTTAGAGCTGTGCTTCGGGGTCATACGCGGACTGTATAGCGGCTGGCAGAGGCGCCGCCTTCACAGGCTTCAGTTCGACCCGGTTGAGTTTGTTTTTCAACATGCTCTTTCCAGCTATGGTAATTATATTTTTAAAACTGTACCTAATAGTAGCTTCTGTGCATTGCGCAGTCTCGTACCAAGAGCCTGCGTTTCTTCTGGTTTGCGGCGAAGAACGAGGGCAGCCCGTATAGCCCTTCAATGGTCATAAATGTAAAGCGCATTGAGATGATTTGAAATGCGCTATATAATGATAATAATAATGATAATAATAATAATAATAATAATGATGACGATGATGATAAGAATGATGAGGATAATAATTATAATAATGATAACAATAATAAAATAATTAAGGCATTCTACACGTTTGAATAGACATTTGTTAGTGACACACTAGGGATATAGCCTAGAACTATAAAAGTTCCGCTTTATTCTCGTAAAGTATTACGCATACTGAAAGTTTAAATAAAAGAAGATAATAATAATAACTTTATTTATTCTGATAAAAATCGATCTGGACATAAGAACAGCTGGTATATACCGCTGATCAGCAAATTTCATTTAATTTGTATTTGCTTTTTGTAAAAAAACGGTATAGAGGCTTCGCACGATCACGTGATAGCAGCCATGACAGGAGGCTGCCATAAGGCTCTGTAATCAAATAAATATAGCTTACTAAACACATTATTCGAAATAGAAGAATAAAATAAAAATAGATAAAATTGAATAAAGGTAGTGTAAGCAGGCCCCACTTGTTTGGTTTAACAATATATTTTTTATTAACGATTTTACTGATACTGATAATCTTAGTACATCTATAATCCTAGTAATCCTTTAATACGCTAAACAAAACTAAGATAACGGATATTTATAATTTTCGTTTTCACTTGTTTTCATTTTCTACATGACCAACATCCTTATAAGACTGTCAATAGCCCAAGGTACCGCAACAGCGCGTTCGTTAATCACAACAGTACTCATTCAACATTCGACAAAACATAGAAAAAAACAAGTGAGCTATTTAATTACACAGCTCAAAATTTTGATGAAATTCTTTTGACAAACATATAATATTCTTACTCTGACTTGAGTGAACTTTTTATCGCACTAACAATGCTTTTCTGTTTGCGTTTTTAGATTGCAAATTGAATTCTCAATTCAAATTCACCCATGCCAATGGCATTGATAACGACGAACGTGAAACTTCATGTTCGTGCTTAAGTTTCATGTTTTCGAATTCATTTGAGATTGAAAAATTATCATTTTGAAATAAAGTAAAATGTGTTGACTCAATTGTTACGGTCTGTAGAGCTTTAGAGGTAGCTCGTTATCCAACCAACGAACTCCTAACTCAGTGAATTTTATTAAAAATCTAAATTGGACCCACACTTCATAATACGTCATATACTGCAAATACGATATTAGATTCACATTGAGCTGAACTCAGAAGTCACATTCGAACTGTCTGATTCATTGCAAGTAAAATAACCTCAGAGTTGGTGTTAGGAGTTTCCAACGGCTCCCAGACTTCAATTTACTTTAAATCAAGGTAGATTAAGTTTTAAGAAAATGGTTCCTGCGAAGGTAAATTATTAGTAATAAGCTGAAACAAGTTGAAATATTGATTCACAGATTATTGAATCACAACGAACAATTTTCTCGATCGTGCTGAACTGACCACAGGTAAGCCATTGGCAGACTTGACATTTTTCTATTGTACTAATTGCATTTTTTCCCCTTATTGACCAGAAAAAAATTCCCAAACGACTAGGTTTAAAGGTAGTTTTAATGTGATATGCAAAAATGATTACTTTTTTGAGCGAATTAAAAGCTAGTTAGTGACCCGTAAATATGTCGTGACTACTATATTTACACAAAGACTCTTACAAGATATTCACTGAATAGTTTATCAATCTGTAACAAAGTTATTTCTTTCGAAAGCTGCAATTGTATGGAATTAACCGCACAGAGCGAAAGAAGTGTTTATTTCTCAATGATCAGGTAAAATTTCGAGGCTTTATTTTACGTTTCAATGATTTTATTGAAATTTTGAAATAATAATAACTTTATTTATTTATTTATATAGCCCTATTTCCATAACAATAACTGAAATGAATGAAAATTTACAATTATGTATCACTAACACGTATTGAAATAAATAAACACCTATCCTATATATACACCTACTTGCAAGA